CCATGTTGTAGTCCTCTGTATAGAAAACTGTAGTTTCCATAGTTCCCCCACAGCAGCAGACGCACATTCATGACGTCCGCTGGCGCATCATAAACACGTCGGATAGTGAAAGTGCATTCGGATTCTCTAAAGTACCGCAGTCTCTTCTCCTAAGTCCTTTTGACTTCTCCTATCCACTATCCCTTAACCCCGTGACGTTTCACTCAGAGGTCAAGGGATAGACGATAGGGTTAGACGTTAGGAGCTGATTTTTGGATTATCCGACTGCAGCCACTGATAGGCTGTCAGGAGAGAGAGAGAGAGAGAGAGAGAGAGAGAGAGGGAGTGGAAAAGAGAGCGCTTCCGCTCATTTCTCCCATGTTATTATCCAAAGTGAATGTAAACTTGAATAATGTATTTCATCTGAATGTAATAATTATGTTGGTTGTTGTTTGTGGAAGCTCCAGTGAATGAGCATTAACTGAGTTTTAAACATCACTTTAAATGGAAGATCCCCATAGGCCCGCCCACTCGATCGGATCGTCGATTCCGGCGATCGGCCGCAAAATTGGCGATCGGAGCATCCCTAATTCTTTGGTCAGCTTTGGTCTCCTCGGCTTGGCCCTACTATGGGCTCTTCGTCCCTGTCCACTTTATTACACAGTAAATGTTTTGTTTCCTGCTTTTCTGATCTGCTCCGGCCTGCAGTCTGTTTCAACTCAAGAGCCCTCTGGCATTTCAGTGGACAGAATCCCTGGATGTTATTAATCTGGTGTAGTTGATCAGCAGTTTGCAGTGGCTGGCTTATAGTTTAACTACCGGTACAACCATATTTGTGTAGTGATTTAAATAGTTTAATTAACTGTTTAGCCTTTTCTGTGTAGCTGAGTACTGATACAAACAAATATTTTTGTCCATAAAATATGCTGATATGAAAAAGTGTTAAACATTGCAGAGCAGAGAGAATGACTAGTGCATTAGGACCTCCTGTATACACATAAACTACAATTAATAGAAGACTACCCACAAAAGTGATCGTCTTTTTTTATTACTCAGGCCAGAATATATTCAAAAAAAGCAGCTGGCACTACCACAACGTACGCCAGGCCTTACACTTGACAAACTGTCAGAGAAGATGATGATCTCACCTCCTCCTCCTCTGGCACTCTTGATTCCCGGAGCGCGGTTGGGAAAATGCGCGGGGTGAATCTGACTTGAATGTTTGCAGCGCGCCTCGGAGCGGGCAGGAGCGCTGGGGTTTTCTGGCTCTTTGCTTCACTGTTGCCTCTTTCATCTAAATGCAGAGATATGATCATTAACATACCAACATCTCAACAGAAGCACATTTGATCACACAGTAAATGACGTACCCAGTTTGACCTTTGCTCCATCTAAGCATCCTTTCTCCTGCTTCTCTGTCGGGGCTTTCAGTTTGTTCTGACGGTCTCTCTGGTCTTGGAGCTTTAGTTTGGCCTCTGTCTCAGCTGTTTCTCTCTGTCTCAGCTGCCATGCTGCCAGCTCTGCTGTCGTCTTCTCTCGCTCATCCTCCTTCCTTTTCACAATTCTGTCTCTTTCCTCCTTTTCAAGCTGAGGTCAAGTAAAACTAATTATAACTCAATATTTCTTGATTCCAGAGCACGATAGTAATGGTATTTTGGTACACTGTGTGATGGGGTCATGAGTAGATTGTGATGTCATTGAAAGTGTTACCTTCATCATTGTCTCCAGTGCATACTTTTTCTCTGCTTGTTGTTTCTCAGCCTTCGATCTGGACTCCGAACACAGCCTCTCCTGGTATTTCAACAGAGCCCTTTCTCTGACCTCCTTCTTCTTTTCTTTATCATCTGAAACACATTGATTTACTATGGTAGATGAATTATAAGGAAATGTACAGTATTGGATATTTTAGTTAAATCAAGCAGATATTCAAAATGGCAATGTTGTAGAAGCAGTAGACTCGGAGTTTACTGATCTCTATCTTTTTATTTCTTAGCCTTTCCAGCCTTTTCCGGCAAAGGTCATGAATAATTTGAACATTGCAAGTAGGGTTAGATTTGGCATGCTGACTAGTTCCTAGGTTTCACTATAATAATGTGGCAGAACAGAGAGCGCAAGTCAAATGACATTAATGGAGAGAAATGAGTGACAGCTGGTCCAGAATGGTCCTGATGTGCAGTAAATATAGACGTCTGTCAGATTCACATTGTGTAATATTAAGAAGAACACTGCAGCCTAGCTGGGTGATGTGTTGAGTACCCTTGTAAATACTTGTATTTTCATCTCATCTTGTCGCTGGGCTTGCCAGTAGGAAGTTGATGAACAATACAGTGTGATAACAGAATGCTATCCCTCAGATTAACACTGGCTTAGTTGGAAACAGTAAATGGACAGCATTTGTATTGCACTGCTCCAGGCTTCCAGACTTTTACAAGCCAGCATTCACACACATTCACACAGAGGCTACCTCACAGGGTGCTCAGGGAAACTAACATTCACACACTGCTGACACACTTTGGGGTTCAGTGCGCAAGGAGATTTCAGACATTTTGATTGTCTGGGGAAACCCATTATTGCCCGTTTTCTCACAGCCTTGTTCATCTGAGCAACTCTGAGTTGAAATACTTTTGAAGTTGTCTTATTGTTAGACAACGTGCCTCGGCCTGTGGCCTTCAATAAACTCTCAATCATTTTGTTTGCCTTAAATGCAGTTGCTAATTTCTGCCTTATTTAATCTTTTTATGGTGTATATTTTTGTTATTAAATTGATGTTTGTCATATTGGAAGTATTTTAAATTGTCTATTTGTGTCTTTTATACTTTTTAGTCTGAGTTTAACTGGTTTCAGGCACTTCAGACAAATTACAAGACTATGATTTTCTCATACATTTCATCAAAGCAATATTTCAATGGGTTTTATGTATGTAAAAGGGGGGGAAAAACGTTTACTCCTACATGTAGTTATCACCAGATGCTCCCAGAATGCATTGGAACATTTTGGCAGAGTGATGACTGCGACTCCATTTCCAACCTTTGCTGTGCTTCTGTCCTCGTCCACAGGTTCAGACAGAAAGGCTTCGAACAGATAGGGGGGGTAATGCACCTGAGCAGAAAACCACGCACAAAACATATTGTTTGCTATTTGAGAAACAAACAAAAAGCACATGCTCTTACATTTGTTTAAACAAATATAAATCATTGCCGATTAGGCATAAGAAAATACAGCTTTGGGATGCGTCAGTTGAAATTGTAATGTTAATGAAACTTTTGTGTACACAGTAAGTACACAGTTGAGTACATTTTACTCAAATTGAAGAAGATTTCACTAATTCGGTTTATATTTTACTCTGCTTTATGGTCATTAGAAACAACTCTACTGCCATTTTACAGAATTGTAAAAGAGTTGTTTATAGAAATATTAAAAAATTAAATGGAATCATGGTGATCTTTAATCTAAACAAGATCAATAAAACCAAACATCACCAAAACTATTTGAATCCCATGACATGGAGATTAACAACTAGACCGACACATGTGTCCTTGTATGTTGTTGCTGGTAAACTAACAAACGCGAAGTGTGTGAGTCATAGACTGTAAAGTACTGTGACTAACCCACTGTGAATGAAACACAGCCCTATGTTACCTTCAGGTACTCTTCTGTAGACAGGAAGTCCACTCTCTCCGCGCGCGCTCCCTTTAAAGGCACGCTGATGAACACCGTGCTGTCCGTCTGAGTCCACGAGTAGTCCGTCACTATTAGCGGCATCTCCGCACAGTACCCGCTCTTTGAAAGCGCAACAAGTCGATGTACTCAGCTCAAAAAACGGACTTCTTCGACAAAAAGCGAGGAGTCTTGAAAGGAGAGATCTAATGCCGCTAAGCGTCCCGTTGCTATGTCGACAGACCGTATGCTCACTTCATGTTCTCGGAAGAAAATCGAAATTGAGAGTTGTAATCAATCCCGATTCTGTACATTTCCTTTTGATTGCCAAAAAGCCTAAATTACAGTTTTTCAATTGCTAAAACACGTTTTTTTTTAAAACAGGGCTCAACATTTACTTTAAAATAAATGTATATTGTTTTAATGCAGCACCTCAAAAAAGATATTAGCCTATGTGCATCAACACATGGTCCTATAGCTGCATTTTGTCCATCCTGTAAACAGTGATTGAGATGAAATAGTAATTTGACTCGAATTTGTCTTGTTTAATGGAAATATTTACTTGTTGCTTTAATACAAATAGTTTTGTTTGTGATAAAGCATTTATCAAACTGAATGTTATATTTTCCCCAGTGATCAGTTAAAACCTGTGTGTAAACTGTTTTGGGAGTTTTATATGTTGAGGTTAATGAGAAAAGCTGTTCTACTGTGTATGTTCAGCTCCATTTTGGGTTAGTGGAAATACTGCCTTAATGCTTTTTAAAACCCTATTTAGCTTTGTAAAACCTTTATTATTCCCCCCCCCCCCTCGAAGTCACACAAGCAATTATATAGGGGATGCAAAATATACATTAAATTACATTATATATGAAATATTAAAACATTTCAGTAAGACTCAGCATCACAGTGATTAAAAAAGCACATGAGCTATTCTCACTTAAAAAATGAATTCAAACTGCTTTCAAGGATTTCATGGCCCCAAGGGGACAGTGTAACAAGCTGCAAATATAACCTGCAAATATAACCAGTTTCTCAGAAACTGTGAGGAGCTCGACGCTCGTGAACTGTCAACGGGAGGGCGGGGGGAGCCTCGCTGCGGGGAAGCAGTGTGTGGACCTGTCAGCGCAACATACGAATTGTGAATGTTGTATAAGTCAAATGTCAAACTTTTGCCAATTGCCATATCAAAACATCAGCTACAATTCACGACATGAAGAAGGCAGTCTCTGCAGAGCACACTATAAAAAAGGATTTTGGAGGGTAGTATACTTTATCCAAGCAAATCATTTAAATTGTACTCAAGGTATATAAGTGAGCATTGTTAGTATATATGAATGGGTAAATTCTACCTACACTACCTAATTTCTGACAGTACCAACTGAAACACAAACAATCTGGGTCAAATCTACTTGAAGACATTAGGCCCACACTGCCCCTTTGCGCATGCGTCTGCGGTGATTCTTGGCTGCAGGCCAGAGGAACGGTTCTCTTTCGCGCCTCCCTCCTGGTGTGTGGAAATATTGGAAGGTAAGATATTACTGTCTATCATGTCCTACATATACATGTTCACGTTTTTTGAGTTTCATCACAAGACTTGTTGTCTGCTTGCTTCACTGTTAGACAAGGAATGTAAGTTTGTTCTCATCTATTATCATCTATTACTCACTGGAAGTCGGTCACTGATGCTAGATAGCTGTAGCTAACATAGGAGCTAAGAGTAAAGCACTATGATGTTTAGCTCCATATTGTTAATAATTGTTATCTGTTGTCTGCAATGAGTTAAGCGTCACGGCGACAGTTGTATGTTAATGTCAGAGCTGGTTAATGTGAGCTAAGCAGCCAAGTTGTGTTTCACGTTAGCATCGTGCATGATTAGCAAAGAGAAGGCTATTGTTTGCTAGCTAAGTACTAACAAGAACAGCGCACGGAAGGCGGCATTCGTTTAAATCAACCTTTGAAGTTGGTCGTCCTCTATAAGTGTGTTTGTCCAATGTTATTTTCTACACATTATCCAATGGACGTGTTACCAAATATTCTAAATGGATACGTGATGCACACTGCAAAAATCAGTAGCCGTTTATTAAATAGCATGTCAGTTCAAGTAATATGACAAACTCTGACCCGGTTGAGTAGTATTGAGTACAGTAACGGTTTGTGGGGGACAAATTCAAATGATGCACAAGGCTAACTAAGTTGAAGCTAGCTTGTAGCATCTCTCTTAGTCTATTTAACGTCGGCCGTCAGTTTCCTCGTGGGTCTGTCCGGGTAATATATACTATGCAGGTCACCCTTGAAAAAGAGATCTTTTGATCTCAAGGGGCTTTCACCTGGTTAAATAAAGGCTACAAACAAACTATATATATTGTTGTGTTCGGTCGCTCTGTGCTTAACAATATGTGAGAGTGAAATACAGTTTGTCCCGTTTGATGAATGGGACACGGTGTTGTTAAACTCCAGCCCCGGCGCGCGTGAACAAGTAGCATTCATATGAGCGTGCATGCAACGATAAATACTGAGACAACTATCTCGCGACCTTCTCTTAGTGAAAAATATATTCTGCCAAGCCACAGTAATAATGATTTATGATTCATTTGTCTTTTTTGAGGTATAGCTGCAGCAATAGCCTATAGACTTATGTTTACATTAAGCTTACTGTATATTATCGTGAGGACTGGAGAGATTACCACGGAGCAGAGCCAAAGCTCATTGTTATATATTTTAGGATTTTTCTACATATACATGTTTAATTGTGTTATTTTGTTGGTAATGTTCAGTGTAAGAAATGTGAATATAAGTGTAACATCCTCAGAGACGGCACCTAAGTCCTATGCATTTTAAATCCTGCAGACAATTTGGAGTGGAGGTGGTGACCCTCAGCCCACGTGTCAGTGTCTTCAAGGAGAGATGGCCTGGTTTATTCAATGAGGCTCAGGTGAGAACGTTACGTGTATTTGTTTCCATTTCAACTCACTGTTGTGAGTAATGAGTGTTGTCTCCTATGCTCTTTATTAGATCAAGGAGGAGTTCCGACACATAACAACTCTTTCACTGGAAGAGACTTTGATGCTGAAACTGGATGGGTACACTAACACCACTCGCTCCAGCTGATGCGTGCCAAAGGAGGAGATGCTGGCTCCAGGATGCGCCCTCTTCTGAGCACAATTGATGAGGCACATTTATTTAAATGTTTCATTCAAGAATATGAAAATGCAGAAATAAGTCTTGTCACTAAAATGCATTTCCTCACAGGCCCAGAGTGTTGGGAAAAAGAGATGCAGTGGCCAGGTGCCTGATTGAAGACCTTGGGGAACGCCAAGAAGACCTTTTTCAAGACAGCCAGGTATGTCGTTAAAGACTGATCACTTCAAGATTTTAACGGAGTTATTTCGGAGGTCGCTCTGATACCATGGTTTAATTTCTGTGATTAACCACTCTTACACCTAACAAATAAATATGCAATTTATTGCTGTAAATCTGTAAACATCTTATTGTTTTTATAAATGGTTTAGCATTCACAGGAAAATGATTTAGGGATAATGTACTGATGTGCTTAGCTACTTAACATATACAACTACCTAAAAACAAAAACCTTCTTTTGGTGTTAAAGTGAAATAAGATAAATAAAATCATGCACTGAAAAGTGATGTTTATGGGAAAGAATCAATGTAATGTCATTGATTAGATCGATGGGCAATTTGACTGGGCCTGACATTTTTTATATAAGTTAGAAATCTTGTTTGTTTTTAATCGCTGCCACACATTTTTACAAATCATTAAAAAAAAGTCAATCCCTGGTTTTATTGATTAGGCTTAATGCTAGACCACAAAGCCTATATTGTATAATAGCTTCTTGTTAATATGCCTAATTTAAAGTGAATATGCTTTTCTTTCTTTCTTTTCAACATGGAGGACGAGCATGACAACGTCGTGGACCAAACTATGAAGGTGCTTGTGATCCATGATGCCAGGGACAGGGGGGACCAGCAGATGTGTCTATTGTCATAGAGGGAGACAGAGTTTTGTGCGGAAACCAAACAAAGGCATGCGCACTGTTGATGGGATTCATCTGAGCCAGTGCTTCTCAAAGTGTGGTCCGCGGACCACTGGTGTTCCGTGAGCGTCCCCTAGTGGTCCGTGAGTATATTGGTCACATTTCACATTTCACATCCGCAATGGAACGAGCTTAAGTTTCACTTTCGATTGCATGATATAGCCCAGATAAGCACCTTCATCACACATGCTGCCACTTGTTTGTATAATTTTCAGGCGATTTGTAAAAAACAATGTGTTTTTGGATATTTTTGGAGTTAGGTGGTCCGCGAGTGTTTTTTGATTGGTTAAGTGGTCCTTGGTATGAAAAAGTTTGAGAAACACTGATCTACACCCTCAACCTGGAATACCCCAACAAGCTCAAATACACATTTGAGGTATTCTAAAAACAGTTTTTGGAGCTTGATGGAGCCAAGCTGCTCAAACAGGTCCATAGCCTCAAATAAACAATTTGTTCTGAAGTGGATGTTGACTTGTTTTAGTGCCGAGTGACACAAACACAAAATAATGTGATGTGAAGAAACCTTGTTCTGTTAAAGTGGACTGTTTACTGGCACTCAAAGGTTTTAATAGTTGAGTAAATTGCACTTGGAAGATTATGTTAAAAATGTTTACAATTTCCATGCACTTTACTGTTAAAACAATGTGATTGTGACTATTTTGAAGATTCTGCTCGGTGTTAACAATTGAAATGCACTTAACTGTTTAAATAATCTCAATGTATGACCATATTGCACTTATACATTTGGTCAATAAAAAAAACATGATCAATAAAATCTTGTGTGTTTACTGGTAACCTTACTAATAAAGTAATATGAATGTGTAATATAGATCAATTATTAAGTAAATAGCTACCTACGATTAGGAGTAAATATTACTCATTTATAAGTAATACGTTTTAAGTAATTGAGTTAGATTTTACTTAATTTCTTAAAGTAAGTCTTATATATTAAATATTAGTAACCTTTACCCAAAAACATTGGGTAAAATCTACTCAAAAGGAGTGTGCAAATTGTAACCCCCATTTTATTGAGTAGATCCTATAGGTTGATTTTTACAGTGTATATAGGCTAATGGAGATGCAGTTATTTCCAACATTCTTTATTTACCATTCATTCAAGTATGTGATGCCTTTTATCTGCTAATGTACAGGAGGAAGAGTGATACACTGTCTGTCTAGTTGCCTTACATAACAGTTAAAGTTTACAGCCTAAAAAACATGGAGCCTTTTTTCCCCTTTTATTCATTTTTATGTCAATTTGCACATTTCATGGTGACGCTCAGCCTCTCCCCTTAACTCCTAACAGTCATCATCATGGTGACGCTCAGCCTCTCCCCTTAACTCCTAACCGTCATCATCATGGTGACGCTCAGCCTCTCCCCTTAACTCCTAACAGTCATCATCATGGTGACGCTCAGCCTCTCCCCTTAACTCCTAACCGTCATCATCATGGTGACGCTCAGCCTCTCCCCTTAACTCCTAACCGTCATCATCATGGTGACGCTCAGCCTCTCCCCTTAACTCCTAACAGTCATCATCATGGTGACGCTCAGCCTCTCCCCTTAACTCCTAACCGTCATCATCATGGTGATGCTCAGCCTCTCCCCTTAACTCCTAACAGTCATCATCATGGTGATGCTCAGCCTCTCCCCTTAACTCCTAACAGTCATCATCATGGTGACGCTCAGCCTCTCCCCTTAACTCCTAACCGTCATCATCATGGTGATGCTCAGCCTCTCCCCTTAACTCCTAACAGTCATCATCATGGTGATGCTCAGCCTCTCCCCTTAACTCCTAACAGTCATCATCATGGTGACGCTCAGCCTCTCCCCTTAACTCCTAACAGTCATCATCATGGTGACGCTCAGCCTCTCCCCTTAACTTCTAACAGTCATCATCATGGTGACGCTCAGCCTCTCCCCTTAACTCCTAACAGTCATCATCATGGTGACGCTCAGCCTCTCCCCTTAACTCCTAACAGTCATCATCATGGTGACGCTCAGCCTCTCCCCTTAACTCCTAACAGTCATCATCATGGTGACGCTCAGCCTCTCCCCTTAACTCCTAACCGTCATCATCATGGTGATGCTCAGCCTCTCCCCTTAACTCCTAACAGTCATCATCATGGTGATGCTCAGCCTCTCCCCTTAACTCCTAACAGTCATCATCATGGTGACGCTCAGCCTCTCCCCTTAACTCCTAACAGTCATCATCATGGTGACGCTCAGCCTCTCCCCTTAACTCCTAACAGTCATCATCATGGTGATGCTCAGCCTCTCCCCTTAACTCCTAACAGTCATCATCATGGTGACGCTCAGCCTCTCCCCTTAACTCCTAACAGTCATCATCATGGTGACGCTCAGCATCTCCCCTTAACTCCTAACAGTCATCATCATGGTGACGCTCAGCCTCTCCCCTTAACTCCTAACAGTCATCATCATGGTGATGCTCAGCCTCTCCCCTTAACTCCTAACAGTCATCATCATGGAGACGCTCAGCCTCTCCCCTTAACTCCTAACAGTCATCATCATGGTGACGCTCAGCATCTCCCCTTAACTCCTAACAGTCATCATCATGGTGACGCTCAACCTCTCCCCTTAACTCCTAACAGTCGTCATCATGGTGATGCTCAGCCTCTCCCCTTAACTCCTAACAGTCATCATCATGGTGATGCTCAGCCTCTCCCCTTAACTCCTAACAGTCATCATCATGGTGATGCTCAGCCTCTCCCCTTAACTCCTAACAGTCATCATCATGGTGATGCTCAGCCTCTCCCCTTAACTCCTAACAGCCATCATCATGGAGACGCTCAGCCTCTCCCCTTAACTCCTAACAGTCATCATCATGGTGATGCTCAGCCTCTCCCCTTAACTCCTAACAGTCATCATCATGGTGACGCTCAGCCTCTCCCCTTAACTCCTAACAGTCATCATCATGGTGATGCTCAGCCTCTCCCCTTAACTCCTAACAGTCATCATCATGGTGATGCTCAGCCTCTCCCCTTAACTCCTAACAGTCATCATCATGGTGACGCTCAGCCTCTCCCCTTAACTCCTAACCGTCATCATCATGGTGATGCTCAGCCTCTCCCCTTAACTCCTAACAGTCATCATCATGGTGATGCTCAGCCTCTCCCCTTAACTCCTAACAGTCATCATCATGGTGACGCTCAGCCTCTCCCCTTAACTCCTAACAGTCATCATCATGGTGACGCTCAGCCTCTCCCCTTAACTCCTAACAGTCATCATCATGGTGACGCTCAGCCTCTCCCCTTAACTCCTAACAGTCATCATCATGGTGACGCTCAGCCTCTCCCTTAACTCCTAACAGTCATCATCATGGTGACGCTCAGCCTCTCCCCTTAACTCCTAACCGTCATCATCATGGTGATGCTCAGCCTCTCCCCTTAACTCCTAACAGTCATCATCATGGTGATGCTCAGCCTCTCCCCTTAACTCCTAACAGTCATCATCATGGTGACGCTCAGCCTCTCCCCTTAACTCCTAACAGTCATCATCATGGTGACGCTCAGCCTCTCCCCTTAACTCCTAACAGTCATCATCATGGTGATGCTCAGCCTCTCCCCTTAACTCCTAACAGTCATCATCATGGTGACGCTCAGCCTCTCCCCTTAACTCCTAACAGTCATCATCATGGTGACGCTCAGCATCTCCCCTTAACTCCTAACAGTCATCATCATGGTGACGCTCAGCCTCTCCCCTTAACTCCTAACAGTCATCATCATGGTGATGCTCAGCCTCTCCCCTTAACTCCTAACAGTCATCATCATGGAGACGCTCAGCCTCTCCCCTTAACTCCTAACAGTCATCATCATGGTGACGCTCAGCATCTCCCCTTAACTCCTAACAGTCATCATCATGGTGACGCTCAACCTCTCCCCTTAACTCCTAACAGTCGTCATCATGGTGATGCTCAGCCTCTCCCCTTAACTCCTAACAGTCATCATCATGGTGATGCTCAGCCTCTCCCCTTAACTCCTAACAGTCATCATCATGGTGATGCTCAGCCTCTCCCCTTAACTCCTAACAGTCATCATCATGGTGATGCTCAGCCTCTCCCCTTAACTCCTAACAGCCATCATCATGGAGACGCTCAGC